GGCATCAAAGCGACAGGAACGACAGGAACGCTACGGATTCCATTGCGGAGAAACAACTCCAAAGGAAGATCTTGAGGGGGAACAGAGGCTGACCAGAGGGCAGGCCTCTGGCCCGGAGAAGAAACAGACATGAAATATGAAGTTACACTTATCAATGCACTAAAACAGTTGCGAAACAAGAGGTAGATCTAATAAAATAAAATAAAAGTAACCGCCGGCTACTTGATCGCAACCCTGTGGATGGAACAAGGAACGCAGCCGCAGGCACGAACGCAGTCGTTTGCAGGACGGCGAGCTCTAGAACTTGTTCTAGAACTCTAGCCATTGTTCCAACTACCTCTTCTTCCTCCTCAGCAGACTACCCACTACTAGCTTATGTCCCAAGTGTGTCGTGCCAGAAGAAGAAAAGTATGCCACAGATAGGCCCCCCATGCCGAAGAGTGGTCATGGGCACTTGAAGGAAAAAAAATGATCAGACGGAGCCTGTCAGAATGGGTGCCGGCTTGATCCTTTCAATGCTGACGGTGTCTTCATGCCATTACGCAGGATTGTAAAATGATGTTCAGAACGCTTGAGATGACTAAGAAAGGACCGTCATAGCAAGGCTGAAGGGCATGGCGAGACGCATCGACACGAACAAAAACGTGTGAAGATGTCTGTAGGTTTGCCGGCAGAAAAACGTCGTTCTTAGTGTGAGCTGAAGTTGGTGATGGGCGCAAGTTTTGCATGAAGATCCGCAGACACTGGACGAAAGAAGATGAATCAGAAACACTCTGCGTAGTAACGGGGCTTACGAGGTCACCAGGCAAACGGAGTGTGCAGCCATAAATCATCTCGGCTACAGAGCAGGCAAGTTCTGGCCGAAGTGTTGAACTCAGGGCGAGAAGCACGATGGGGAGGTGTGATACCCAATCCTCGGCGTGAGGCTGCGACACGAGTGCTGCTTTTAGATTACGGTCGAATCTCCCCACTAAGCCATTTGATGCTGGATGATACGCAGTTGTGCCAATACGCGCACAACCCAGTAGAGATGTGACAGAGGTGAAAAGCGCTGAATCAAACTGTCTGCCTCGATCCGTAGTCACCGTTGATGCTACACCGAAACGGCTAATCCAGGTAGCAAGAAAGGAACGAGCAACTGTTTCTGCCGTGATTTCAGGCATTGGAGCTGCTTCAGGCCACCTAGTGTACCTGTCAATACACGTAAGCAAATAAGTATTTGCCCGACATGGAGGTAATGGCCCGACAATGTCCAAATGAATGGTGTCGAAACGTGCATCAGGGAGAGAGAATTTTCCCCGTGGAGGCTTGATGTGCCATTGCACCTTCATACGCTGACATGCTCGGCAAGTGCGAACACAGTCCCGAATGTTAGCCTGTATGCGCGGCCAGACATAGCGTTCAGTGACCAGATGTTGCGTAGCTCTTACGCCTGGATGGCAGATGGAGTGGAGGGTGTGAAAAACAGCACGACGAAGCTGTGAAGAAACATAGATATGCGTGCAGTTGTGTGAAACATCGCACCAGAGCGTAACGTCGTCGTCGGAAAGTTGACTTGTTCCATTCGGAGGGAAGTAGAGGATCAGAGTCGTGGAAGCTCATCGTCTAATGCCTGTGCCTCCGCGAGCGAGGACAATGAAAGGTCGGTGGTGCCTAACGTGGCATCGATGGTAAAACGACTGAGAGCGTCCGCTGCACTGTTAAAGCTGCCTTTTACATAACGTATGTCTGTGGTGAATTCGGCAATGAAAGCAAGGTGTCGAATTTCTCTAGGAGTGTGCGTGGCACTGCAGGAACGTAAAGCCGAAACAAGGGGCTTGTGGTCGGTAAGAATGGTAAATTGTCGCCCTTCAATGAAGTACCTGAAATGCTTTACCGCAAGGTAGGCCGCGAGGAGCTCCTGTCCGAAAGTACTGTATCGGCGCTCAGTGTCACGTAACTTGCGGGAAAAGAAGGAAATTGGAGCCTATGCATCATTGATCCATTGATAAAGAGCGGCCCCAACTGCTTCTGCAGAAGCGTCCATTATGAGGCTAGTGGGAGCAGTTTGTGAAGAGTGGTGCGAACGGTGGCCTGGGCGAGCTTGTTCTTAACGGCGGCAAAAGCTTGATCCGCGACCGTGTCTCAGGGAAGTGTGGCTGACTCGGCTTGCGGAGTCGAGAATAGTGCTTCCAGAGGCTGCAGCAGTGTAGAGCATGTAGGGATGAAGCGGCGATAAAAATTGACGAGTCCGTGAAAACGTCGTAGACTGCGTATGGACGTGGGAGGCGGGTACTCGAGGATAGCTTGAACCTTGTCAGGTAGAGGAGTGATGCCATCTTGAGTAATCTGATGTCCGAGGAATGCTATCTCCTAGACTCCAAAGCGACACTTTTCTACATTGATGACAAGGTCGTAATCACGCAGTCGAGTGAAAAGCTGACGTAGATGTGCCTTGTGCGTTTCAGCGTCCTTGCTGGCAACGAGAAGATCGTCGATATAGGCGAAACAAAACGGCAAGCCTCTTGTGACTTCGTCTATAAAACGCTTAAATGTCTGAGCTGCGTTTCTCAAACCAAAAGCCATTCGTAAATACTCATAGAGACCAAATGGGGTAATTATTGCAGTTTTAGGAATATCAGAAGGCTCAACGAAGATCTGGTGGTAAGCTTTCACAAAATGAATCTTCGAGTATACAGTTGTGCCGGTAAAAAAGGCATTACAGTCCTGAATATTGGGTAACGGGTATCGAACTCGAACGGTGACTGAGTTGAGAGCCTGATAATCACCACAGGGCCACCAGTCATTGTTCTCCTTGGAAACCATGTGTAGCGCCGACGACCACGAACTTGATGACGGACGAATGATTTGCGACTGTAACATATGCTCAAACTTGTTGCGAGCAATTCGAAGTTTATCACGGCCAAGTCGGCGAGGGCGGCAGTGAACCGGTGGGCCTGCGGTAACGTTGCAGTGGGTCACAGTGTGCTTGGGGTTCTTATCCGTAGGAGACTGCGTTGTAATCTCCGGAAACTCGTTAAGCAGAGCTGTATATGGTTGCGTGGGTGGTTTCACGAAAGTGGGGTTTAGGGCCGTAGCGCGTGACAGAAATCCATTGGCCAATAAGCCGGTATAGCTATCCACAAGGCGACAGCGGTTTATATCCACGAGCAGATGAAAATGCCTTAAGAAACGGGCGCCTAAGATTGCCTAGCGTACGTCTGCTATCCAAAATAACCACTGCAGTTTCCTCTTATGACCGAATCAAGGGTCAGAGACTTCTGTCCGTATGTTGCGATGACCGAAAAATTGATCGCTTGTAAAGGAGTTGACTTCTCGCGAAGACCGCGGTCAGTTTTGGACGTTAGGATTATGCTGACTTCTGCTGCAGTGTCCACCAGCAAGCGCAGACGTGTGGTTCTGTCAGTGATGTGGAAGAGGCGGCTTGATGTTTGGCCTTGATCGCCCGCCACTGTTATTGACAATCAGCCGGAGCGTTTCCCATGCGCCATGAGCAAGGTGGCACACATCTGTGAGCCGCGGCACGAAAACGCTGGTGATAATAGCATTTGTTCTGCGGTAAAAAGCAGTGCTCGGGCTTGTGGAGGGACCGTTGCGGAGCAGCCAACGTGAGAGATGGTCGATGTGGACGAGGCTGGTCATTTAAGTTGCGAATGCTCAGCAATTGCAGACGCAAGTTGGCGACTTCAGCTGCGAGATCTGTTACTGTTTCTCGAAAAGAATCTGCTTCGGAAATCGGAGAGGTGTGGGCAGCGTTTATGACTGCCGGAGCAACGTCCATCAGGTCATCGGCCATTTCTGCAAGCTCCGACAGCAGCTCATCCTGAGCTGGGACAAGAGCGATTTGCATGGTAGGTGGAAGACGCTGTAGAAACAACTCACGTAGTATGGATGTTTCCAAGCCGTCCTCCTGGTCCCCAAGCAGGTGCTGCAGGTGACGTAGAAACTGTGTGGGACGGTGGTCCCCGAGCTCTTCATTTCACAGAAGTTGCTGAATGCGCCGATGCATAGGCGGAACGAGTCGGTGGAGAAGAGCCTGTTTTGCTGTCGTATATGGAGTGTCACCAGGCGGGCCCATGAGGATGTCGCGTATTTCGGCCATTGCCTGTGGCGGCAACGCTTCAACGAGGAGCTCATGCTTGCGAACTTCTGACGTGATGCGATGAATGCGGAACTTGTTCTCGACTTGAATGAACCATAAGGAGGGATCGGCAAGCCACAGCTGTGGTAGCATTATGGTAGTAGTACCTCCAACAACACCCAAGAGGGTACATAACCGGGTGCAGTGGCAGCGGTACCAGGGCTGAGGCTGTCGAGATGCTCACGCTGCTCTATGGAAGGTCGCGTTCGTAGTCCGGGTCACCAATAAATATAGCACTCCGAAACGTGGTTCTGAAAACACAGCGCGGTGTATTAATGCATCTCCGCCATTGTTGCAACTACCTCTTTTTCCTCCTCAGCAGAATACCCACTACTAGCTTATGTCCTAGGTGTGTCGTGCCAGAAGAAGAAAAGTATGCCACAAACGCATTCTTTTTCTTTTTCAACGGACAGAGAACGAGTACAATCTGCTAAACCAACACGGCCGGTTTGCCATTTTCACTTCAGAACTGTACTAGGGGAGTTTGAAAAAGACGTATTTTACGTGAAGAGACGTTCATTTTCATGCGGCAAGACTGCGTTCCAAGCCACATAACACTTAGACGTTTCAAGTTTGAAGGTGAAGCTCTAAAGTCTCTCAATATATGTCGCGCAAAACAAAATTGCGATTGACATATCTGCACGTTCAGAGAGAGCACTGAGATTGAAAATTTAGGGAGAGACATGATTTTGTCCGTTATTACACAGCGTAAACGCACGCGCAGTGGACTCTTAAAAGTGCAGCGATATCCTCTGTAGCGCTTTAACCAGTTATTTATTTTTCATTTACAACATGGTTATCAGATATGTGGATAATTGAAATAACTTAGCTCATTGTGGTTCTGATTTATTATTTGCAGGCATTGGCACTGGCCTGCATGTTCTTGCATTTTGGACATGGCGTATACTGGAGCAAGAGCGCACCGACGTCTGCTCCACTCATTGGGGTAACTGAGCTGCCTGCAGATCGCACATCAACAATGATGGCTTGAAACTGTGTAGACGTGACAGAATAAACTGATGTTTCTGAAAACAATTGCTATACAAACAGCTCACTGTCGTGACGCTGCATACGAGCGCGATGGGTATGCGTGTCGCAATAAGCAATCGACAAGCTGCGCTCTAGGTGACGCAAGTGAAAAACCACTCCTGTTAATTGTGCCAGGTCGTTATATATTTCGTGGGACATCACGTGGTAAGGGAGCTTGGCACACATAAATGTCGCCCAGCTATCAGTACTGACGTCACGTGCCTAAACACGGGCAAGCGGTAACAGCACACTTACTATGTTAACAAGAAGTCTAAAGCGTGAGTTGTTCGTAAATATTTCACCAAATGGCAGTAATTGATGACTTACCCTGAAGCCCATTGATGCCAAGGTGTCGTGAGGTAGCCTGCGCCTTCCCGTGTACTCTCGCAAGTTAAAATCAATTCACCTCTAATCTGCTTACAATGCAATGCCTTTTTATGCAACTGGCATCCTTAGCAAGGTGAACAGTGTGCAGCTAGCTAACTTTCCTGCAACGCGTGGCGGAAAGAAGGGTAAGGATTTGCGTAGAAAAACACAGAACAGCGTTTAAGGAATTCATTCAAAGTAAAAGTGTGTGTCTGACAAATGAAATATAAGGTTCGCCGGAAATCAAGAAAAAAAAGTGCTACTTCAAGGAACAAAGGATGCTGAAGCATTCTCCAGCTGTCAATGTAAAAAGAAAATTCTTCGCAATTTTTTTTAAAGAACACTTCAGAGCTGTGCAAGAACATTAAATAATAATGGTTTACAATACTCGCGAATATAATAAAAAGCTGTAAGGAAAAAAAAAGAACTAGAGTATGTTTAAAAGGGAACCCGAGAGATTTTTCAATGTGAACCAAGTGCCATAAAATTTTCATCATTTATTCTTTTCTGTGCTCTGACGATGTTTGTCATAATTTAGTTTTTTAGACGGCGATATCAAAAAAAAATCTGTAGCCAAGTCCGGAAGCACACCTTTACATGCCGGCCACCTTACGTATGCGACGTCACGTTGCTACACTCTTTCTGTCCTGTTGAGCCCAGCAGATGGATGCAGCAGGTTCTGTCTTTTACGAAGCGGTGACGATGCTACGATGGTTGTAGCTACATAGCGAGTCATAAAAAACTAGTAGTGGGTTTTCTCGGGTACTAGAAGAGGATTTTCACGCAACCCTAACAACTGTTTATGTAAAATAATTGCGACTGGTCAACATTTGCCTGTGCGTACAACATGTGTACGTATGTTTAACTTCGTGTCGTAACAATTCACTAAATAAAAAAGTTACAACACAGTCACGTCCCCTCCAAATTATTCGCAAAACACATATTTCCAAGTACGAAGGATCAGTCGTATTTTTTCCTTTACCTTCCACCTCTGTCTTCCTCACCATCGTCACCGCTTTTTCCTTTCTGTCACACATCAACGTCATGACGCGACGAATCCCATCTAATTCTGCCCTATTATCCCTGCCGTGAGTTTCAAGAATTGATCACTTAACCGTGAAAGCTGTTGGTGCCAAAGAAATTGTCTTCGTAAGGTGACGTACGCCTTCCCTTTCCTGAACGCACCGAAGCCTTGGGCCATCGGTGACTTGGCAAACCGCTTCCCAGCTTCCGGTCTTTGTGGGGGTTCGCACTCCGGACCCTATGCGCATGGTGGGAAACTCTAAACACTTTCAAAGATCGGCGGCGATTACACGAGCACTGCGTGAAAGGCATCGTCTGGAAACATCGAGGATGGTGGCTCCTTTACTTACGGTTGTGGCTCAATTTCACATATCTATGAAAGGGTATAGTTGTGATTGGGAGGATAAAGGTGGAGTGAAGAGCCTTCTTTCTTTCTGCGTGAAAACCTAGTGTACATTGGCGATAGTTGCTCACCGAGGAGTCGACTCGACATATTTATATGTAAAGCTACCAGGCCTGGTGTTTTCGTGCCAAAGCAGCAAATGCTTGTTTTTAAACGCGAAGCATTTCTTACGAACTTCGGCGACTTTCAGCGTATCCATTTACTACCTAACTAGCCGCTTACGTTTGGGTGCTCTTGAGGTCACTCTCTTAACTTGGCGTGAATCAAATTTAGCATGGGAGGGTAAGATTATTTGACGAATATGACGCACTGGTCAAGACAAGAGTAATGTCCAAATCCCATCGCGTACATCACCAAACACTTCCCGCCAGGCAGGGGCACATATCTACGGGCGGGTATGCGCCGCTGGTACGCAAATATGTGTCACAGGCGATTGACACTTAGTATCTACCCTGGAACGACGAGAGCACACATAGGCAATTACAACGCGTGAGCGTTAAGCAATACCTAATATTGCTAGCATCGACCCAACGAAGGAATAGAGTAAATGCCAGTGTTAAGAAAAACCTGACATAGGTAGCGTTGACCCCCCCCCCTCCCACCCGCCATATGCCAATAAAAAATTTCAGGGCCGCAGGAGGAATAGAACTCAAGCATTCTCCGTGGCAGTCAAGCATTTTATCACAGAGCTACGCCAGGTCTCAGAACTACTTTTGAAATAGACGCTAATCTTCGTGAAACGTCAATAATGGTTGCAGTGCTGCCTACCCAAATTTATAAACTTTACATATGCACTCCTTTGATACAAACGTCACGTTGGGTTAACGTCGTGGTTAGGTTCCATGCACTGAAGTCCATTTATGTAGCAGTGTCTAGGGCCAGCAACTTCGCGAGCTTATCAGCTTCTGGTGTTGCTAATACGTATGTTCCAGTTGGCATCGTTGCGCGAATGCTAACAACTGGTTATATAAACATATGCAACTCTTCAACATATTTTGTGCGTGCAACATTTGTACACATATTTAGCGTCATTTCATGACGTGTGGCTTGTAAAAGATTACATGGTCACCTGCCCTCCGCCTGCTTTCCATAAGGTCGATTCCCAGATACGTGGCATATGATGAATTTTTTCCCTTCCATTGTGCAAGGAACTTTACATATGCACTTTATAAAACTTTATATTGCAGGACACTTGCCACTTTTAATCAACAGCCAGAACTCATATGCACTTTATGAAGACTCAGAGTAAAACGTGTGAATTTTTTTTTGGTTTATGAGGGTATTATATTTTGCAGTATATTGCGACGTTCCATTTCACAAGTTTTTGTTATCGTTCCGAAACACCTCACGATTCTCGGCGCAAACCGCGCCTGCAGGTTTCGAGAAGGTTCCGGACTGTAGTAGATCATTTCGATAGGATCACGCCCACTGTGCGAACGGTACAGATTGTTCTGGAACCTACGCCACCGCCAGCGATAACGCTAGAACATTCGACGGCAATGGTATAAATGCCGACGCGCTTCGCCGCTTGTCAGTTGTTGATCGAAGGCCGACGCTGCGTTCACCGCTATCAGTCCGAGACTGCTGTCTGTGCAACACTGCTGCTGTAATTACTTTCCCTTTACCGGGCACAGGTTCGCCCAAATAAACAGTTAAGTCCCAACACGAAGTTTCCTGTCTTTGGCCACGTCACGACCCCGTGACATCTGGTGGAGGTGCTGCTTCGTTCATGTACCGGACGCCCCCGTCAAGCCGTGAACCCAGCCCCCGTCGCGGAGAAGACACCGACGCCAACCAAGAGCAGCGAACGAGCCGCCGACAGCAAGGTCTCCCACCGGAGTGCGGCCTTCTACAAGACAAGGCGCGGAAGACCAAGACCATAACCTCGACTGCAGCGACAATGACAACCGGAGCATCCCAGCCCGCGATCGTCATTCATCAACCCAGGGAACCACCAACGTTCCATGGCTCATCGTTTGAAGACCCGGAAACCTGGATAGAAACATACGACCGTGTGGCCGCCCTCAACCACTGGGACAACGAAGAAAAGCTCCGTCGTGTGTACTTCTACCTGGAAGACACCGCAAGGACCTGGCTAGAGAATCGGGAGTCCACGCTCCGAACGTGGGATGTCTTCTGCGGCGAATTTCTGCAAACGTTCGCAAGCGTCGCTCGCAAAGAGAGGGCCGCTGCTCTAATCGAGACCCGGGTTCAGCTACCAAATGAAAAGGTTGGAATTTTCACAGAGGAGATGACCCGCCCATTCCGTCACGCTGACCCAGACATGCCTGAGGAAAAGAAAGTTCGTTTCCTCATGCGAGGGGTCAAACAGGAGCTCTTCGCGGGACTAATGAGGAATCCACTGAACACCGTCCAAGAATTTATATCCGAGGCAACCACCATCAAAAAAAAACGCTGGACATGCGCACAAGACAGTATAATCGTCACCTGACTCCAGAATGCGCTGCTGCTCAAGCCAGCGACTCCGACGACCTGCGTGAAACGATCCGAGCGATCGTGCGGGAAGAGCTGCGCAAACTGTTGCCTTCGGCGCAGCCTCAAGTGAATTCGATCGCCGACATTGTGCGAGAAGAAGTCCGGCAATCGCTTCGAATTCCCGAAACACCGCCACCCGAGCCAGAAACTATGAGCTACGCCGCTGCAGTGCGCCACAGCGCTCCTCCCCGTCCACGCCAAAACGCCACCCCGTCACACTTTCGTCGCCAGACGCCACCGCCGCCACCACCCCAACCGACGTCCTACCGTTCCCCAGCGGGCCAGCGCAGTGCACCGAGAAAAACGGACGTTTGGCGTGCACCTGACAACCGCCCGCTCTGCTACCACTGCGGCGAGGCCGGGCACACATACCGTCGTTGCCAGTACCGACAGATGGGACTACGTGGCTTCGCCGTCAATGCACCGCGTCCGCAGCCAGGAGATCGGCCACGTGACATCACCGACTACCTGGCAGGAACTCAATGGACACCACGAAGTCCTTCCCGATCGCCGTCGCCCAGCCGCCGCATGTCACCGCACCCCCGGCAGTACTCTGTTCCAACGCGGGGCCGGTCTCCTAGCCCGTATCCGGGAAACTAAGGGCAGCAACCGATGGAGGTGCGGTTGCTGTGCGACGAACTACCGAAGATCCTCCGACGACGACGCCGACGCGACGGAGCTTTTTGAACACAACACCAACCAGGAAAAGCCCTG